TATCTCATATCATTCAACACTTTACAAACACAACACACCTTTCCCATGTCTTATTACTAAGTACTGTGTCTCTACAGAATTACAAATGAATTTGAAGGAGAGTCCGTGTAAAACATTTCTCCGCCGATGAGCACTCTTTTCTGGGATCTATAAACACTTTCAGCAATAGGACCCGTATCCGCCCTAATCTAATCTGCCTCATTGAAACAGGGACTATGCTCATCCATAACCAAATTATAAACAGCCTCTGATGCACCACACACGGCATATAATATTGATCAGGAGAGAACGTTATGCTCCATTTAAAGAAAGCGAATATCTGCAAGTGCTCAGAGACATTAAACAAATCCCTTGTGGAGCATGTGGAAAGAAAGGGAGAGATTATACAGGTCAGAGATGACTTGCAGTCTTCATCTAAATGGAGAGAAGTGTTACGGTGTGCTGAATAGAAAATGTTCAAATGCATCTAGATGTCACATAAATAAGAATTTGCTGTAATCTGAGACTTGGTGTAACAAACAAGCATAACTAGGCTTAACACAGCAGGAAAAAATATATATACATGAACCCTTTATGTGTCTGTGTTATTAATTTATGCAGAAATTCATAGTATGTCCAAAGGTTCACATACTTTTTTCCAGCAAATTTACAATAATTGAAATAATAATCAGATTTACTATCTTACAGAAAATGTACTACAGGGCCAAGTCCTCAAATGCAAAGCTGTTTTGGATAAAAAAACATCCAGTGAATGATGCAGGAATAATTAAACATTTGTTTATTTGGTTCTCTCATAAAACCTACCAACTGTGAGGTCATCGAGTTCAGGCACCACAGGCAGGGTCCAGCCAATAGAGTTGAGCAGAGCGGTCACCTGACCCATGCTAGCTAAGGGTTCCACACGCACCACCTGGAATACGTTTGATTTGTTGTTTATAAAAATAGTACATTTCCTCATTTTACATTATATTAATGTTAATAATCACATATGACAAATTATTTTTAAAATTCTTATCTACATACGTGTTTACATTCCAATGAAAGCCCTGTCTTTCCAAACAGTTCACCCAAAAATGAAATTTACTCACCCTCAGGCCATCCAAGATGTAGATTTGGAGAAATTGAGCATTACATCACTTGTTCACCAATGGATCCTCTGCAGTGAATGGGTGCCGTCAGAATGAGAGTCCAAACAGCTGATAAAAACATCACAATAATCCACAAGTAATCCAGACGACTCCAGCCCATCAAGCGTAAGCATAAAGCTGTGTATTTGTACAAAACACATCCATCAAGATGTTTTTAACTTCAAACCATTGCTTTCTCTATCCTTAATATTGTTTCAAAAAAGTAATTTCATCTGAACCAGGAAAGAAACATGCACAGATCAAGCACCGTTTACAAATGAAAACAGTCCAAAACGGTTCTAAACAAATAAATCAGTGTATTTTAAGGACAACAGAGAATTCAATAAAGGAACCGTTATTATGGGTTTTAAACAGATTGATGTTAAAAGGACTTAATGATGGATTTGTTTATTACAAACATGCAGCTTTTCACTTCACAAGACATTAATTGATGGACAGGAGTTTTGTGGATTACTGTGATGTTTATCAGCTGCATGGACTCTCATTCTGACGGCACCCATTCACTGCAGAGGATCCATTGGTGAGCAAGTAATGCTAAATTTCTCAAAATCTGTTCTTATGAAGAAACAAACCCATCTATATCTTGGATGGCCTGAGTGTGAGTAAATTTTCAGCAAATGTTCATTTTTGGGTGAACTATTCCTTTAACTTTAAATGAGGAGATGAGATTTAAACAATTTTACTGTCAAAAAATAATATCTGGCATCAGCCACCTGCCGTTTTGTGTCCACCTCCAGAATGTCCATCATGTTAATCATGATGTTCTTGTTCGTCTTCTTGTATTTTCCTACCCTGAGAGAAACAGTCAGCCATCCTGGACGACCTGTGCACGTGTTTCTTCCCTCCCTCTTTTTTTCCATTCTCGCACCTGAACAATTTAAATGGTCAACATTTGATCAAAACCAGATTGCATCGAAGTCAAGTTCATATGTTCATTATTCTTTACACTGATTCAGTAAAAACCACAATAAAATGACCGAAAACTACACTGGTGAACCTGTCCCGGTGTGTCGAACAGTAGGGGGCGTGTCAGTAACTTTTCGCCGCGCCCGTACTTTCACCCCCACAACTTGCAGAGAGCCTGCCCGCTACTTTTTATTGTACCATCAATTTTTTTTTCTTTGAAAAGGCACTGCCTACCTTTATAGTTCAAGCCGTTTGCACATTTCATGTTTGTTTGTTTTTTCATACATATTCATTAATATTACATGCATTTCTCATTTGTATGCATAACGCACTATCATCAGTGCAATACTGAAGTATATGAAATATTAAATTATAAATGAAAGTATAATAGGTAACATATGAAAGCATTCGGCTCGAAGTTTCGCAGTTACCTGTCTCTGACTGTTTCTGACTCGCTGGTCGTGCTGCTTGGGCGCTGAGCACATCTTGAAGATGATCCACGCGCGCAGGTAATAGTACACACCAAAGATGACTGATAAGGGGAGCAGAAAGATGCAAACGAAGATCCATCTCTGGTGTATTATCACGTACTCCAAGCCCTTCACTTTAATCCATACCAAAAACAAAACCACTAACGCACCCAAATATAACAACGGATCCATTCCGACAGCTTTTTAAATCACGAATCGCCTAATTACAATGCAATTTAAAAACGGCTTTTGATTTAACAAATGCTTTTATTTGTATTCACAGCGGACGAACATAAACCCACATGTATTAGCACTGCCTAATAAATTGTTATTCAATGCGATTTCTCGTATTCCTTTGTGCGCATAGTTTCCCCACTTGCAAGGCGCACTATTTGCCATCTATATTTTGCACGCTGTTTAGAAACTTGCACAGGTGGTCTACGCACCGCCTCCAACTTGCGATGATTGGCCAGTAGCGCGTCAAATCAGATAACGCCAGTGGTTGCGTGTCGTCTGTTCAGCCAATCACAAGAAAGAAACACCGTCACACCATTGCCTCAGTGAGATGTGTTCATTATCATACAGTAGCAGAGAAATGAGGCGACTAGTGATAGAGGTACAGTTATAGGCATGCATTTCAGTTTCAAATAAATAATTCCTATACTACAGTTTAAAATATTATTCCAATTCTATAATGTAATATTTATAGAATATTTTTTCCCGGATTTAGAAGAGGGTTTTATCATAGTGGTTTCTGATAATGAGTAAAATAATGTCTATGGTTAAAAATTAATGGAAGACTAAATACTTTGGTTCATAGAATGTTCTGGGCAGTGTTGGGGAAAGTTACTTTTAAAAGTAATGCATTACAATATTGCGTTACTCCATAAAAAAGTAACTAATTACGTTACTTAGTTACTTTTTATGGAAAGTAATTCGTTACGTTACTTTTGCGTTACTTTTAAAATCTGGACAGGGTTTGCTTGTTTGTTTTTAAAATAAAAAAGTTCTATTTTTGGCAAATATAAAAGCCTTTTCATACCAAAAGTGAAATGAATAAGCTTCAGGCTGAAGGAAATGTAAATTTACGTCCGTACAGTAGAATGCAGAAGAAGAAATTTCAGCACACTTCAGCAATAAAAAAAAGACACAAATGTTTGTCTAGAGTAATTTTTGCTTATTAGTATGGTTGAACTGGATCATCGAAGGTCAGAAGCAAAGACATTGGTTAATAGAATGGGATTAAATACATAAAGGATATTTGTGTTGTTTAACATTTAATTATTGCAGGTTTGCGTCATATTCTGAGTATATTCTGAGCATTTTTTTTATTCAGTTTGAGGAATACTGAATCTGTTTTTTTGTTTTGTGAGTGAGATTAATTAATGCATATTCATATTTATTTTAGAACTACAGTAGCATCTTCTGATTTCTCTCATTCCTTTTCCATGCATTAATTCTTTTAATTTTAATGTTTGTGACCTTTGTAAAAAAAAAAAAAAAAAAAGTGTAATAGAACACCAAAGTCAACACTATTTGTGAAAAGTGCCAACTGAGAGATAAAAGTCCAAATAACTGACCTTTGATTATAGATACAGGACTCTAAACTGCTTTTAGAAATGGTACTGTATAAAACAATCGCTTTCATATGGTGCTTACAGTATCGAAGATATAGGAATCAATACATGTGGCCAGAAATATCTCATATCATTCAACACTTTACAAACACAACACACCTTTCCCATGTCTTATTACTAAGTACTGTGTCTCTACAGAATTACAAATGAATTTGAAGGAGAGTCCGTGTAAAACATTTCTCCGCCGATGAGCACTCTTTTCTGGGATCTATAAACACTTTCAGCAATAGGACCCGTATCCGCCCTAATCTAATCTGCCTCATTGAAACAGGGACTATGCTCATCCATAACCAAATTATAAACAGCCTCTGATGCACCACACACGGCATATAATATTGATCAGGAGAGAACGTTATGCTCCATTTAAAGAAAGCGAATATCTGCAAGTGCTCAGAGACATTAAACAAATCCCTTGTGGAGCATGTGGAAAGAAAGGGAGAGATTATACAGGTCAGAGATGACTTGCAGTCTTCATCTAAATGGAGAGAAGTGTTACGGTGTGCTGAATAGAAAATGTTCAAATGCATCTAGATGTCACATAAATAAGAATTTGCTGTAATCTGAGACTTGGTGTAACAAACAAGCATAACTAGGCTTAACACAGCAGGAAAAAATATATATACATGAACCCTTTATGTGTCTGTGTTATTAATTTATGCAGAAATTCATAGTATGTCCAAAGGTTCACATACTTTTTTCCAGCAAATTTACAATAATTGAAATAATAATCAGATTTACTATCTTACAGAAAATGTACTACAGGGCCAAGTCCTCAAATGCAAAGCTGTTTTGGATAAAAAAACATCCAGTGAATGATGCAGGAATAATTAAACATTTGTTTATTTGGTTCTCTCATAAAACCTACCAACTGTGAGGTCATCGAGTTCAGGCACCACAGGCAGGGTCCAGCCAATAGAGTTGAGCAGAGCGGTCACCTGACCCATGCTAGCTAAGGGTTCCACACGCACCACCTGGAATACGTTTGATTTGTTGTTTATAAAAATAGTACATTTCCTCATTTTACATTATATTAATGTTAATAATCACATATGACAAATTATTTTTAAAATTCTTATCTACATACGTGTTTACATTCCAATGAAAGCCCTGTCTTTCCAAACAGTTCACCCAAAAATGAAATTTACTCACCCTCAGGCCATCCAAGATGTAGATTTGGAGAAATTGAGCATTACATCACTTGTTCACCAATGGATCCTCTGCAGTGAATGGGTGCCGTCAGAATGAGAGTCCAAACAGCTGATAAAAACATCACAATAATCCACAAGTAATCCAGACGACTCCAGCCCATCAAGCGTAAGCATAAAGCTGTGTATTTGTACAAAACACATCCATCAAGATGTTTTTAACTTCAAACCATTGCTTTCTCTATCCTTAATATTGTTTCAAAAAAGTAATTTCATCTGAACCAGGAAAGAAACATGCACAGATCAAGCACCGTTTACAAATGAAAACAGTCCAAAACGGTTCTAAACAAATAAATCAGTGTATTTTAAGGACAACAGAGAATTCAATAAAGGAACCGTTATTATGGGTTTTAAACAGATTGATGTTAAAAGGACTTAATGATGGATTTGTTTATTACAAACATGCAGCTTTTCACTTCACAAGACATTAATTGATGGACAGGAGTTTTGTGGATTACTGTGATGTTTATCAGCTGCATGGACTCTCATTCTGACGGCACCCATTCACTGCAGAGGATCCATTGGTGAGCAAGTAATGCTAAATTTCTCAAAATCTGTTCTTATGAAGAAACAAACCCATCTATATCTTGGATGGCCTGAGTGTGAGTAAATTTTCAGCAAATGTTCATTTTTGGGTGAACTATTCCTTTAACTTTAAATGAGGAGATGAGATTTAAACAATTTTACTGTCAAAAAATAATATCTGGCATCAGCCACCTGCCGTTTTGTGTCCACCTCCAGAATGTCCATCATGTTAATCATGATGTTCTTGTTCGTCTTCTTGTATTTTCCTACCCTGAGAGAAACAGTCAGCCATCCTGGACGACCTGTGCACGTGTTTCTTCCCTCCCTCTTTTTTTCCATTCTCGCACCTGAACAATTTAAATGGTCAACATTTGATCAAAACCAGATTGCATCGAAGTCAAGTTCATATGTTCATTATTCTTTACACTGATTCAGTAAAAACCACAATAAAATGACCGAAAACTACACTGGTGAACCTGTCCCGGTGTGTCGAACAGTAGGGGGCGTGTCAGTAACTTTTCGCCGCGCCCGTACTTTCACCCCCACAACTTGCAGAGAGCCTGCCCGCTACTTTTTATTGTACCATCAATTTTTTTTTCTTTGAAAAGGCACTGCCTACCTTTATAGTTCAAGCCGTTTGCACATTTCATGTTTGTTTGTTTTTTCATACATATTCATTAATATTACATGCATTTCTCATTTGTATGCATAACGCACTATCATCAGTGCAATACTGAAGTATATGAAATATTAAATTATAAATGAAAGTATAATAGGTAACATATGAAAGCATTCGGCTCGAAGTTTCGCAGTTACCTGTCTCTGACTGTTTCTGACTCGCTGGTCGTGCTGCTTGGGCGCTGAGCACATCTTGAAGATGATCCACGCGCGCAGGTAATAGTACACACCAAAGATGACTGATAAGGGGAGCAGAAAGATGCAAACGAAGATCCATCTCTGGTGTATTATCACGTACTCCAAGCCCTTCACTTTAATCCATACCAAAAACAAAACCACTAACGCACCCAAATATAACAACGGATCCATTCCGACAGCTTTTTAAATCACGAATCGCCTAATTACAATGCAATTTAAAAACGGCTTTTGATTTAACAAATGCTTTTATTTGTATTCACAGCGGACGAACATAAACCCACATGTATTAGCACTGCCTAATAAATTGTTATTCAATGCGATTTCTCGTATTCCTTTGTGCGCATAGTTTCCCCACTTGCAAGGCGCACTATTTGCCATCTATATTTTGCACGCTGTTTAGAAACTTGCACAGGTGGTCTACGCACCGCCTCCAACTTGCGATGATTGGCCAGTAGCGCGTCAAATCAGATAACGCCAGTGGTTGCGTGTCGTCTGTTCAGCCAATCACAAGAAAGAAACACCGTCACACCATTGCCTCAGTGAGATGTGTTCATTATCATACAGTAGCAGAGAAATGAGGCGACTAGTGATAGAGGTACAGTTATAGGCATGCATTTCAGTTTCAAATAAATAATTCCTATACTACAGTTTAAAATATTATTCCAATTCTATAATGTAATATTTATAGAATATTTTTTCCCGGATTTAGAAGAGGGTTTTATCATAGTGGTTTCTGATAATGAGTAAAATAATGTCTATGGTTAAAAATTAATGGAAGACTAAATACTTTGGTTCATAGAATGTTCTGGGCAGTGTTGGGGAAAGTTACTTTTAAAAGTAATGCATTACAATATTGCGTTACTCCATAAAAAAGTAACTAATTACGTTACTTAGTTACTTTTTATGGAAAGTAATTCGTTACGTTACTTTTGCGTTACTTTTAAAATCTGGACAGGGTTTGCTTGTTTGTTTTTAAAATAAAAAAGTTCTATTTTTGGCAAATATAAAAGCCTTTTCATACCAAAAGTGAAATGAATAAGCTTCAGGCTGAAGGAAATGTAAATTTACGTCCGTACAGTAGAATGCAGAAGAAGAAATTTCAGCACACTTCAGCAATAAAAAAAAGACACAAATGTTTGTCTAGAGTAATTTTTGCTTATTAGTATGGTTGAACTGGATCATCGAAGGTCAGAAGCAAAGACATTGGTTAATAGAATGGGATTAAATACATAAAGGATATTTGTGTTGTTTAACATTTAATTATTGCAGGTTTGCGTCATATTCTGAGTATATTCTGAGCATTTTTTTTATTCAGTTTGAGGAATACTGAATCTGTTTTTTTGTTTTGTGAGTGAGATTAATTAATGCATATTCATATTTATTTTAGAACTACAGTAGCATCTTCTGATTTCTCTCAACATGGGGACAGGAGAGCTGTCAATCAATAAATTGGAAAAAAAGTAACTTGCGTTACTTATTTGAAAAAGTAACTCAGATATTCTCTTGTAAATTAAAAAGTAATGCATTACTTTACTAGTTACTTGGAAAAAAGTAATCTGATTACGTAACTCGCATTACTTGTAATGCGTTACCCCCAACACTGGTTCTGGGAACGTTATTTTATGGTTAAAAATAATCAAACCAGGAACCATACTAAACGCTTAGGGGAAGATGTTTGCTGGAACATTTTTGTTCTGCAACACAGGCTACATTAGACACAGTTATACCTTAAATGTGATTTTTTTTTAATCCACTAAACTATGTTTTGTTTTATGTTATTGCTAGTAAACTGCTAAAAAGGAATGCGACTACCACAGAAAATTAAGTTTACCTGCTTGACTAAAATTATTTGGCAACAAGTTAGCAATTTCGTATTCAAAAAATCCACAATGACTGTGTTTAATTTATGTTGTAGAACAAAATGTGAAAATCTCTTCAAGTAGGTTCATCACAAACATTAAAGGGGTTAGTTCATCCAAAAATTTAAATTCTGTCATCAATTACTCACCCTCAAATTGTTCCAAACATGTATGAGATTCTTTCTTCGGCTGAACACAAAAGAAGATATTTTGAAGAATGTGTTTAACCAAACAGTTGCCAGTAGCCATTGACTTTCATGTAGTAGCATATTGTCCCATAATGTGGAAGTCAAAGCTACCGGCAACATTTCCCAACATTCTTCAAAATATCTTATTTTGTCTTCAAGAAGAGAGAAAGTCATAGGCCACAGGTTTGGAACAACATGAGTGTGAGTAAATGATGACAAAATTATCATTATTATTATTTATTTTTTGGTGAACTATCCCTTTAATAACTAAAGAAGAAAAAAAACATAAAACAAACTCATAAAGAAAAATCTAAAAGCTAGGCCTATGTGTATTTTGTGAGCAATATGCTTTCTACAAATGACTTACAAAGTGAATTGGTGGGTTTTTGTTAAATGTGAGCCAAAATCATCACAATTAAAATAACCAAAGACTTAAACTACTTCAGTCTGTGTGCATTGAATTTATTTAATACACGAGTTTCACAATTTGAGTTGAATTACTGAAATAAATGAACTTTTCCACGACATTCTAATTTATTGAGATGCGCCTGTATGACGGTTAACAGTGTTAAAGGCTACTACATGTATTTATCAACTGGATTTTCATTCAAACCTGCCCATATTTGGGGGGAAATCTAATTTAAAAAAAGGTTAGGGATCGCCATGTAAAACAAACAGATATAAGGGATTATCTATAACGGATTATCTTGTTGGGAATCATATTTTCAAATTCATGCCAATAACCATCTGGCCTACAGACGGCTCTGGGGTGGGGCATGAACTCTAATGATGCTCCTATAACGGTAGAGGAGTTTGACAACACAGCAGGCAGCTGCGCTCATTTGACAGCATGGACTAAACCTGATGCGTGTGAACAGCAGATCACCGCTTCGATCGAGTGCATGCTACATTTGCATAATGCACTCCATGTCCTTTTTTACTACAAGTGCCTAAATCAAGGCATTGGGTAATATGATGGTACTATCAGTCATAAAATGCGCACAGGATATGCAGTTTCCATTAGAAGTGAACCAATGCAGACAAGTCTCCGTTTGATGAACTTGATTCACCCTGGAGTCTCAGTATCATCTTGAAGCTGGACAATGCGCGCGGAACTTTCCAGATAGATCAATGTTATGAATTTACATTATGCCTTCACTACATCATGGCGCTATTTTTATTGGAGTATTCTTAATAGTCACCGGTGGCTCCACCGCTTTTCTAACTTCTAATCAAAGTCGACTGCAGGCGTTCAGCATGTGCTGTGTGGTGCTCGGGGCGGTGATGCTCATATTAGGGCTCTTCTGGGCGATGAACGGCAAGAGAAACCCGGTGCCTTATAATGAAGAGTACAGCCACGACTACAGTCAAGTCCTGTTCACCCCACCGCCCGGAAACCACTTCCCCGAATCCCAGTCCGTCTTTCTGCACGGGTAAGTGGGGAATCGTGTCATAAATGAACTACTAAATGTCTGCGCTGATGATTCTGATAAGGTGAAATAAAGGCGCAGAAGATAAAATCACAGTCTGAGCAATCTGGAGTTGAGTCGTAGAGGAGTTTCCATCCAAAAGTGCATTATAGCCTATACGCTATCTATGCAGTCAGGATCGATCTAGAGTTATTAGCAGAGGTTTTCAGCCTTTACAGTGTCAGGGACTCGACCCCCAAACTCTCATCAGTAACACATGAAAAGTTTTATTAAGAAAAAAATATATCTATTTTTGTTCTATTTTAGTATCCATAAATGGGCACTCACATACACTCACAGCCATTTTAATACAGCTGTTTTGAGTTAAAAAGTATAGGTATAAAATTATTTCAAGATATATTTCATATACAGATAAACAGATAGGCAGATATGCAATTTTATACGTACCTTTTACTTTTTACATTGTACTTTTTAAATGTATTGTATGTACTTTAAAGTAATTATATATTTCATGAGTAATTAGCCTATATAGTAGAATTACTTATGAAACTGCAATTTTATATGTACTTTGTACTTTTTAAATTCTATATGTATTTTATGTTTTATGTAAAGTATATGTATATGTGTGTATTATACGTATTTTTGTACTTTAAATTAGCCTATGTGTGTGTGTGTGTGTGTGTGTGTGTGTATAGTAGAATTAATCATGAAATTGCAATTTTATATACACTTTTGACTCAAAATATGTAATCTTAATGTTGTATATTGTTCTTATTCCAACACTCATAAATCCAATGTAATCTCTCTGAACTCAAACTCCATCTCACAAACATTTTATCACAAGTATTATAATGCCATGTTACTCATTACATTAAAAATAATTTAAATAAATGTAAACATTTTCCAACATATTTTCAACATAAAATGAAAGAGGAGTCCTGATCTGCCATAAAAAAAGAGCAGCCTTGAAAATGCTCCTCTACATAATTTACCAAAAAGCAGTCCACATAAAATAGATGCATACACTTTCATGCAGCTTTTTTTATTTGATTGGAATAGCTAGGAGCAAACATGGAGATAATTTTACTTTTCCACCCATATCCCATATCCCTCCGGATTTGTGCCATCTCTCTTTCCTTTCCCCCTCTCTCCCACCCTCAGAGGTCATTAAAAATCACTTAGAGGAGAAGTCTAAGAATGGTTGCTGCTCCTCTGCACTGTTATCTGATACTGAAAGGCCCTCTAGTGTTGATAAACAGCATATACCACCTTACATTCAGGTTCCGCTTCCCCACGCCCAGTACACTTATTAATAATAATGCGTGATTGTATTTTGAAGGACGTTGCAAAGGCGAGGTGTAAATGGTGAAGATTTGGACTATCCCCCGATGGAGCCAACCTGTTTTAGCCCTACCAGTCGGGGTCGGCCGCCTCACTGGGACCTGGAACCTCCCCCACCTTATGAGGTGGCCATCAAAACCACTAGGAGCTCCACGCACCTGAGACGCAGCTACTCAGACACACAGCTGCTCACTGAACCTCTGTTTGGACGCTCACGGGAGATCAGTTTCGAGGTGTGACATCTGAGCCACATTCATCTTTTGAGACCTGAACTAAGGAGCTGAATACCCACTCTAAAGTATTCTCAAACAAGTGTTGATGAAGCTTCAAAACAGGCATTGACAATCCACAGCTCGTCGAGGGGGTGTTTTATGCCTCTTGAGATGGTTCTCGTCTTAACCATGTGTTTACAGCCTTATTCAGAAAGAAATGTAGAATACTATGCTTTTAATGTATTATAAACATAAAATCTAAGCTATTGGAAATAAGTGGTTAATATATCATTAAACATAACGCAATGCATTTTTTTTAAAGAGGAGGCT